GGCGTTGGAATGGGCTGCCCAGGGCAGGGGGGGAGTCCCCATCCCTGGAGGGGTTGAGGAGTCGGGTTGACCCAGCGCTGAGGGATCTGGTGGAGTTGGGAATGGTCAGTGTGAGGTTAATGGTTGGACTGGATGATCTGTAAGGTCTTTTCCAACCGAGATAATTCTGTGATTCTGTGAAAACAATCCAGCACCTTTCAAACAGGTCCTTTCAGCAGCAGTAGACGTTTGTTTTCTTGCTGATTTAAAAGGTGACATGCCAACCCTGCCAGGCTTCAGCTTGTGATCCCCTGACCCCACCCAAACTCTCATCCAGATGAAGGGTTTGTTGGCCCACCCAACTTACCTGTTCATTAGTGTCCGTATCACAGCACAGGCAAGGACCTTGTAATACTCCTGCTCTGTGACATTCCCTTACACAAGCAACAATGCAGCTTGGTGAAACCATTCATTTGCCAACACACCAGCAATGATCTTTGGAGACGTGTAAATGGCAGCCAGCCTTGTGGGGCTTTGACACGCTGATCATAGTGTAGTATTTAGGACAAACGTACAACTTACTGATCAGTACTGGCTTCAGGTCCTGCTTTTTCCATGCAGTCGAGAAGAGGTTACAAACAGGGTGTTTGGACAACACTCTGATACATTAATCCTTTGCCAGTCTGATAGCAAGCTTTGAGCTGCCACCAGTAAGTCCCAGGCCAGGATAAAAAGAAGGGTGCTGGGTGTTCCCTGGGTGAGCATTGTCCCTTGGAACTGACACCAGACAAGCTGCACTCTTACCTCCCCAAAAAAAGACCAGTTGGAAGCAGGATTTGGGCTCTGCTATGGACTACCTTCCCCTCCATCCTAAAAGGACCTTAGCTACTGTTAAACCTCCTTGTCAAAACTCTCCGCTTTTTACTGACTGATGAAAGAGGAGACCGCAGCAAGCTGCAGTACAAAAACACATGCACTCAACTCTCCTCTGATAAGCCACCGTAAAGCAGTGGCTATTGGAAAGGGAAGAGACACTTGGACATGGCATGCCATCTCCAGACTGTGACTAAGGGTGCTGATGGCCCTGCCGTTCTTCAGTGCAGACTAACTTTCTTCCAGTGTTTTTTAAATGTTTGGCAACTGGAACTCACAACCTTAGTGCAGAGGAAAAGGTGCACACGTTCAGCTCCAGCTGTCTTGATCATCTAAGGCAGCCCATGTGAGTTGGCAACGTATAGCTCTACCTTACAAAGAGCACTTCCAAAGCATCATAATGCTCCCTTTTAGATCTCAGCCTAAAATGTCATTCTGACATTCTGAGCATCTGCTTCAGGCATCTATGTAACTCATGTTTCAAAGAATCACAGAATCATCTCGGTTAGAAAAGACCTTGAAGTTCATCCAGTCCAACCATTAACCTCACACTGACCATTCCCAACTCCACCAGATCCCTCAGCACTGGGTCAACCCGACTCTTCAACCCCTCCAGGGGTGGGGACTCCCCCCCTGCCTTGGGCAGCCCATTCCAACGCCCAACAACCCCTTCTGCAAAGAAATACTTCCATTTCATTCAACTCACTTTGAGAAATCTGGGGGCTGATGGGGTCCATCTGTCAGAGAAGGGGAAGAGCATCTTTGGCCATAAGCTTGCCAAGGTGGTGAAGAGAGCTTTAAAATGACATTACCAGGTGAGGGGAACCTCAATCCATCCCACTCCTACCAGCTTGATACCAGTGACAGCAATAGATGCCCAGAGCCTGGAGAGGAGTCCCAGGTCAGCAGGAGAGCACCTGAAGAACAGCACAAAGGAATTCCAACCTGACTTACTAGTCAGCTTCATCGGGGCCTCAACTTAAATGCCTCTATGCAAACATGCACAGCATGGGGAGCAAGAGGAGCTAGAGACACATGGATGCCTGCAGGGCTGTGATCTTACTGGCATCACTGAGACATGGGGCTCCTATGACTGCAGTGTTGGGATAGAAGGATATGGGCTCTTTAAGAAGAACATACAGGGGAGATGAGGAGCAGGGGGTTACCCTCTATGTCAAGGACCCGCTGGATTGCACAGAGCCCTGCCTGGGGATGGATGAGGAGCTGATCAAGAGCTTACGGGTCAGGATTAAAGGGACAGCAGGGCCAGGAAATGTTATAGTGGGGGTCTACTACAGGCCACCCAACCAGGAAGGCTAAGCAGATGAGACCCTATATAGACAGACAGGAGCAGCCTCATGTTCACAAAGTCTGGTCCTCATGGGGGACTTCAACCACCCCAATGTCTCCTGAGGGACAACAAAGCAGGGCACAAGCAATCCAAGATGCTTCTGGAATGTGTTGATAACTCCCTTCTCCAAGTGACAGAGGAGCCAACGAGGGGCCATACTATGCTGGACCTTGTTCTCACCAACAAGGAGTGGGGCTGGTGGGGAGTGTGAAGCTCGAGGTCAGCCTTGGCTGCAGTGACCATGAAATGGTGTTCAAGATCCTTAGGGCAGTGAGGAGGGAGCACAAGTTCACTACCCTGGACTTCAGAAAAGCAGACTTTGGCCTCTTCAGGGATCTGCTTGGAAGAGTAGTATGGGATGAAGCCCTGGAGGGAAGGGGGG